ACCTGGTTGTAAATTTGGAATGAGGGTTGATGAGGGTTAGTGAGACTCACTGTCTGTATCGAAGAAGTGATCGAAGGATCGCGAATGGTACAATACGCTTTTGCCATTTATTTCAGGTTTCTCATTTTTTATACAGCGAAATGCTCTTCTCACCCTTGCACACAGGAGCCCGGAAGAATTGTTGCATCGGAAATTCCACCCTGGAATGTGAGAGTCTTTGAAGGTTAGGCTTTTTTGCCTCGCTGGTTATGGTATTTCGTTTTGATGGGTAAAAACAATTTATTCAATTCGAACCACCACACAGGCTCAAGGTTAGGATCTTTTGATGTGGGTGCGGTAGCGCTATAGGAGGATATACGAGAAAGGGGGGAAGTCACACGGAGTCTAGCGGGGGAATATTTTTCTGTTCATTTTCATTCCAATTTTAAGATAGCACCGCGCAAAAGCAGCAAAGCCCAGGACCGTCTGGGGTAGGAATTCCCGTCTTCAAAACGACATCCAGCCCTCCAAAGCGACAAGCGAGCATGATGTTATGTGTCGTTTTTTAATGTACCAAATACGTCACTCTCGACCATCGCACCGAAAACGCCAAGAATCTCCCGAAAACCCAGTTAAAACTATTGTTGTGACACACCGGTTAACTGTTATGCAACATTCAACTAAAACGCTGCATGTGTCTCGCTTATGGATCTGCAATGAATTACTAGTACGTAGACATGTACAGGAATCAGTGACTTCAGATATAGATCTGGAATTTGGGAAAGTACATCAGGTTATCCAAGGTTATCTCATTGTCAGTGATCCCCCAGATATTACAGAGAGTCCAGATTTAACGCCCTACCCAATGAGCAAGAAGTCATAATATGTCATTACTCTCTATGTGCATGTAGCTAGACTTATTGCTTCCTTTAAATGCAAGCATATAGGATATGAACGCGCTCGATTATACTGTACGTAATTATTTGCCCTACATATGACTAAAAGCTAAAAAAGCGCATTTAATTTCTTCCTTATTTAAAAAGAGGTCTTGCGTTTCTTTGATGTTTGCGCATAGCGAGAATCACGAGAGGAACGGAAATGGAACAAGCAGTCTAACTACCTTTCTTGACCTCATTAGAAAGTATTTATACGGTATACCGCAGGATGCCAATTCCTGAAAACGATGAATTCAAATAACCGCTGGAAAGTGTTTTATTACCTTTTGTAGCAACATTTGACGTCTGCTTTGATGTTCGTCAATCATCAAATGTGTAGTTGTAAAGTTAACTTCATCTTTAGAGATGAGGCTGATAGACGATGACGAAACTTTTGTACCTTTTCTCATGATAATATCCCGTGGAGCTATTTCACGTGGAAAAAGGAGTGGAAAAACTGGTATAAGATGGATGTGGTAGTGTTACCTGTAACAATAATAAAGGAGTCGCTCCTCTAGTCATTGTTAGGAGAAAAAATACGCAAGTCTCGCGGTTGTCCATCAGCCTCATCTCTATAGACAAAGTTAAGTTGTTGTGAAGCATTGAATAATACCAAAACATGTTATTTTGTCGAAATCATAATCGATAAACGTCGAAACAGGCATCGAAAGCTGCCACAAAGGTAATAGAGTGCTTTACTACTGGTTGTTCTTCCCCTCGTTTCCCAGAATTGATCTTCAGAGAGCGTACATCTAAAGGTCGTTACTATTAAGCAAAAAAATACGAAGAATATCGCGATGCGTACAGTCTGCGAAAATTAAATGTTCCGCATTTGCTGGCCCGCCAAGCAAGAAAAATGAAGCTAGCTTTAAATACTCTTCAGGGCCGAAAAGGGTTTGAACATGAATTCAAACGCGTAACAGCAAAAAAGAAATGAATTTAAGCAGGATTTTAAGCAATGAGGATGGCTCTTTTTAGTTCAGAATGATGCAACAAATCTACACAAACCTTATTCCGAGGAAAGAAATATTTTTTATAATTTGTTTAAGCAACATTGGACCGGGTTTCTCCCAGTAATTTCTTGATTCATGTTAAGAGGCATCCGCCAAACGTGATAAATAGAAAAAAAAACATATTTTCCTTAAGTTTCCTTCTAATGCTACAAATCACATTATACAATTCCAGTTATGACATTAGTAAGTAATATGACGTTAACTGTCACAAAGTATAGCTGAATCCTAAGTACAGTTCGCAACAAATATAAAATACCCAAAAAAGTTTTACGCTTGAAGGAGTGTTATTTACTAGAAGATTATGCGTATTCTCGTGTAGTATCATCTTGATTGAGAAGCTTTTACGATCTGGAAATGAACATCGAGTCTGACGAAGCAATAAATCATCGCTACAAAGGGAGTGTATCCCCAATTCGATCGACAACGGCCGCGATCTTAGCGGAAAACAAAGAGGTTCTTCGTAATGTAATTTCCAGCTGCAATAGTTTTCAAAAGGTGTGTCTAGCGGCCGATCCAACATGTGGATTGCAAAGTATTTTCTCAAACCCCAGTATGCAAGCAAGTAGGTATACACTGAGAGTAAAACAGGTGGTATGGTACTAGTAATTTTAGTATCTGTTTTTCTTTCGAATAAATAATAAGTCACCACAAGTTCGCATTCTGTCAGTCTAGCATTCATTTATAAATTCGTCTGCCACAATCTGACGACGTCACGCTACACTTTTTTGGGACTTTTTTAAGATCATTCTAGATAAAAAAGGTAACTTTCATCTACAACATCGAGTTAGAAGCGGTTTCATGTCGGAGAAAGCCAAACAATCGCTATTTTAATTCTTAAAACCTTGATTGGAAACTTTCATATTGAGAGAGATCGCCAATAACTATTCGTCATTTGTTTGTCTGAGCGGTCTGTAGGACCTTTGCCCATTAGTCACTGTCTAATGTACGTTAGTCGAATCTGTCAGTCCTGGTTGCCCAGAAACCAGAAAATGTCAAGGAAAAAAGAGTAAGGGAAAGAGAAGAAAAAAGGGAGCAAAGAAAAATAGAAGTGTTGAGTTTAAGAGGAAACACCTAGGCTTTTTGACTTGGAACACGGATTAATTGGAGTGTAATTTTAAGTTTACTAAAAATTCGCGCTAATTTTTGATTTCAGTGCGAGCCGTGACCTTGGATGTTTACGAACTTGCTCCACTGTGTAGTTCACTGAGTCACGTCGCTGCGCTTGAAGCTTGACGTAAACCCTCAAGTAAAGAATGTCAAGGTCTCTGTGTAGTGTCTCGTTTGAGACATACCTTGGAGCGATGCAAATTGTTCGGAAAGTTCTGCTTTGCTTGAAGGCTGCATGTGCCTTGGCAAGAAAACACCAAGCCGCACATGCATAAGTATTGGCTGGTCTAATAATCATTTTGTATAAGCGAACTTTGTTTATCAAACTCAATTTGGAAGACCTACATAACAAAGGATGTAGTTGCCGAAACGCAATTCGGAATTTTGTTTTCCAGGCTGCTGTATGTTTCTGCCAGGTCATGTCGTTATCAAGGATGACACCGAGTTACTTGGCAGAATTTGTCCATGGTACACGATTGCCGTCTACGGAAACCTCTATTGGGGGATCGCGACGTTTTGTGAGATTGCCAATTATCTACCTTTAACTTCACACCTTTCTCTACAAGACCTCAAAAAGTATTTTGGGTTTAGTCTTTTTTAAAGTAAATTTTAACATTGCTTGGTAGGCTAACAAATCTATGATTTTCTCAGACTGTACATAAGATATGCGAGATCACTCAATTTTTTATACAGCAAACAAAAATAGTGTGTCATAAGCGCTTAAAGAATACATCTGGGAAAAAGACAGAGATAATTTAGAGAGTGATTTCTTGTTAAAAAATATGAAACAAAGTTTCTATAAACATGGGTCCGGAAATGCATAGTTTTCAACATACAGGGTGATGAATTTTTTTTTATCAATGTCTTAATATCTAAAATATTTAATGGATTCTGTTGAAATTTGACAATAATATTTGTTGTCTTAAGAGGCTAATTTATCCTTAAATAGATTAAAATTATTAGGACCAGAGGCATCCCAGGGGGCATCTTAGCGAACACTATTTGCAGAAAAAATTTACGATACCTTTTTGTAACTTTAATATTTGTTGTTTGATTTAGCATCTAAAAATATAACTTATTCGCCTCTTGAATATTTATTTAGTATCTCACTTTGTTTTTAGCAAAATAAAAATAAGAACCGTGTGCATCGGAAAACAAAAACCTAAAATTAGCCTCTTAGTACAACACTTATTATTGCCAAATTTCAACAGAATCGAGTAAATATTTTTAAGATAATAATAAAAAGAATCACCCTGTATCTTGAAAACTCATGTTTAAAGAAAGTATATTTTATATTCTTTAACAAGCAAAAATGTGACCGTCTATTTTTCGAACACGCTGTAGAGGCAGAAGAGTCTCTTTATGATAGAGGTTGATATAAAAACATACGTTATATGCCAGAATGCAGATGTGTAAATTGTAAGGACAACAAACATGTCATTGCTATAAACGCTTTATGATGTAGTTAAACAGTAGGTACTAGTGTTAGAGGTTTTAGTGACTATAAATCCATAGTTGATTTCTTAGATGAATGACAATGTACCAGTTTTATGGTTCTTTTGCAACATATTAGGTGGCTTGAATACACTATAAACAGTTTCATGCGTCATTCGAGTTTGGTGTCTTGTTCCTAATATGTTGTAACATTCAGACAGCGCCTGGCAAATAGATGCTAACCAACAATTCGTTACGAGCACATGCCATTTTAGTTTTGTAGTAGTTGCTCTATCTCTTTTGTACCAGCATTAATATGTACTCAATTAATACTATACAGACCGTCTTTTCCAAACTACCATAGTTGACTGAAATATCGAAAACAAACTGTAACTCATATATTTATCGAAATTAAAGTTTCAGATATAATTATGACAAATAGATTATTTGAACTTACCCATTTGCTCTGCCACTTGAGTCCCCAGCGAGCGCAGACTCCTTCTAAAAAAACAAAAATAAAAATATAAATAAGCGTCCAACAAATTTAGCCCCAAAAGGGGCTTGGGGTATGTTTTAATAAAAAAGAAACTCTTTATTCACAACAACAACATATTACAATATTCAAAATCAACATTTCCGTTGAAACAAACAATGTACTTAGTTTATACATTACTTATGTGCAATTGTGGTTACAAAAGACAGTTGATACTGTTTTTAGCACAATGTCTTAGGTTCATTCTTCGAAAGCGTTTTTCAACAGTATATATATAAGCGTATAATAGTGTCATCTAACATATATAAATACCAACTAACAGTATTGCCCTAGTCGTTATTACAAATGAGTCCATGGAAAACTACTAGTGTATCAACTGTATTACACTTTTAGTTAATTCTGTTCCTGCTTGACTTTATACGGCATATTAAGCAAATCGTAACAGAAGGTGGGAGTCCGAATATAGAAGTACGTGTTGCTTACAGTCCAATCATTTAGTATTGCGACATGTTGGGCAGGAATACTACGCTGCGCCATCAATGTTAAGCATCAATGTACCCTTTGATTCCGCTGTTAGGTTAAGTAATGAAAATTTATGATGCGGATATCTTACCCTAACAGAGTGACACTTTCACCGTGCTGGGTCACAAAACCAGGTGTCAATATACGAGAATTGCTATTTGACTACTTTACCCAAGATAGCGGATGTGAGGGGTTAATGGTTAAGACTGCCATATTTATGGTACATGACGAGGAAATGATTTCCTTTCCAACGAATTTTTGGGCAGGTTAAATAATTCCATTGTAGTATGTGAAGCTCAAAAGCTTATCATAGTAAAAGAGAAGCTACTTCATGTTTGTGAACAATATAATAGAACTGACAATAAGATATGAGAAAAATCTTCTTAAAAACAGTTACTGAACTCTATTAGTTTTCCACAGGTCATGACCCTTTCATCCTAATGGTAGTGAGTGTACTTTAGGCTCACAATTTATTTCCTTTATCACCAAAGAAACACGGTCGTCGATTTTCAAACTAGTTGCAAGATTAGTGGACTGGGTACAAGTAATGCTAGCAAGGTCAAATAGTATGGTACGAAATACATTGGTAGTCCAGAACAGGACTAAATATTATAGAAACCCTTTTAATTGGGACTGTGTAGGAAACTACGAGTAGTAACTATATCAAACACACCAACAAAAGTTGTCTAAAATACACAATATGAAGTTGAAAATTTGAATTTGAAACGTATATTTCTGTTATGTTAATAAACTAAATAATAAAATATTGCGTGCAGGATGCTAATAGTTGAATAGCTATGGGATAGCAAACATGTTTTATGGATAACTGCTGGTTTCATGGAGCTGATTGTACCCGCTAAAAGTGTGATTTATAACTTCTTGTAAAACAAAAGCTATTATCAAAACCTAAAGATCATCCCATAGATATTTAACTTTTAACGCCCTAAGCGAAATATTACACGATTTACTTTTGTAACAAAAGAGAAATGTATGTTTGAGGTTCTCATTCTGTCTAACCTAACATTGCGTAGTTGACCAATCGTTGGTGTAATTAACGTTGTCTAGACAGCCTCACCTAAAAGCATTTATTTCTACTCTTCAACATATGATAACACTCCCTCATTAACGACCACTCTTTAGGCAAATAATATGATAAGTACCCTTATTTGTTCCCTAACAAGCATAACTAGGTTATTTTACTAGCCATGCTTACCGACATGGCGTCATGCATCGTGATGCAAATGTTTTAAGTCGGACAACTTTCATTTGCCGCACCTTATAACAGACTTGTACCCAATATCACGGGATCAAAAGCTCCCAGTTCTCAAATGTAATATGATAAAGGAAGGTTCGAAATAATATTAATGAGATACAGTGCTTATCAAAGAGGCAATCCCTTTTATTCTTTGAACAGGTCAAGTAGCAAACTGAGAGACGATAAAAATGATGCTTGAATACTACATATCTTAGTGTAAAAGTGACTGTTGAAAATTGGAAAATGGTGGCTGTATGCTATATTTTTTTATGGAATGTGACATCGCATTTTGAGACTCCTCATCAGTTCTTTAAACTATATTACTATCCTTCAAAATGACGAAGTGTCAGACTGCCAAAGTGGAGCGTTTTTGTACATTGAATCGCTTATAATTTAACAATTAATTACCAAAAAGCTACAGTGCCTTGCATTAATCTTTTTCATTCTAATAGAGTATATCGAAATGCGGAACATAACATGAGATACTTCCTTTCGAAAAGATTCACAGATCTTGACACTTTCCATAGAATGGTCCAGATTTTGTTACACATTCAGACAGCTCTTTCCAAAAAAAGAAAGTTGATATAGTCTTGCATCCTTCAACATGGAGGCAGAGCACCATCCTGAAAGTTTCAATTGTCACTTTCATGTTATATAACTCGTGCAAAAACATCGTAAAGCTGAATTTCACGCTGCTCACATCACCAGTTCCATAAATAAGCACCGTATATCTACAAAATGTTATTCTAAGTAATCACTTTGACTGTTACCGGTGCTTTGTAATTCTGCCGCATCCTGTGCTGGGTCCAAACGTAGAAGACTCTGATCCAGAGCCTGACAGCTTTGCTATAAGTCCGCGGATCAAATGCCAAAGAGCGATCTAACTAACGAATAATGACTGTGTACAAAATCGAAATGTGATGAGGAATATTGACCTAGAAAACAGTTATAATGGAATAATCTGTAAATTCTTACCTCCTCGACTAGCAGACCGAAATTAATTAATGCAGTTATGGAATATCGTATAGAACTATATGCACATCCTGTAAAAAAGGTGATAACAAAAGCAGGTAGATATAATGATACATATGACACCAGTACCTAAACTAATAAATCTGTAAAAGATGTACAAGAAAAACTTATGTTGTAACACTATAGTTGAATAGGAAAGCTATTGAATCGCAAAACGTGCACACCAATGTCTGATCTTGACTGCGATGTGACCCTATTTACCTATTCCAAAAACAAATGATCGAAATGCACCAGAAGCATCAAGGAAAGAAGAGTTAAAATACACTCACCTTATATCAAAACGCTATAAACGCAAGATTGTCTTACATAATGGAAAAGCAGTCTACATTTTCAGTCTATACATATATAGTAGAGCTGTAAGGGAGTATACTGGTTTATCAAAATACATTTGTATTTGTTAAAGCTTAGCTGAGCCCTAAAAGTGGTTTTCTAATTCAGCAACATATATCTAGCTAGTCGCTCTATAACGTCCCATAAAAGTTACATTAGGTCCCTTGTTTGGAAACAGTCACTTTTGTATCAATTTTGTAAGACAGTTGTCCCAAAAAGTGCCTAGTACCTTACAATGGGTTAACTTATACCATTGATATTTAGCGGTAGGTAAATATTTTAAAGTTACACTTCGTTATCAAAATAGCCTCAAACAGGAAAAATATTAACATGGCTGACGGAATACAAGTACTTTGATACTCGCTTTGTCTCAATAGTAAAGTTGATACAGTAAGTGCAAATTTCCAAACGTACGCATATTGACTTAAACACGAATTTGTACTAACAAATAAGCATTACATTGAAATAAAATCGTATGTATCAACCGTTAGGAGGATAAGCACCCTGTGGTAGAGATGACGAGAAATGCACCTTTCCCAGGCAAGGAAGGCCTCACTGTAAAACGAGCTTAAGGTGCATAGCTCCTTAATGGCAGCATGTTTTTAATTCATTGATTAAAATTTTGTTGAAACTCGACAGTTCATCTTTTGAATATGTACAAGCCTTTATTTAATAGCTCGAAGGTTTTTGCAGATACTATTGAGACAGATTGAGTCTGAACTGGCGATTAAAGTAAAGCAATGACAAAAAGTCATAAGAGAGCAAAGCCCTTCAGGTAAGGCAATAAAATGTATGAAAAGAACGAATCAAAAACCGCTGTCATGTGGCATACAAATAAACGAGACTACTTAATCCGTATTATTTGTAATTAAAAGACAAAATATGATTTATACACCTATATGAAGGATATGAAATGATATGTGTTAATGAAAAAATGGAAGTCGATATGGATGGGCGTTTTATAAAACGGCAACGAACGTATGAATTCTAGAGACCTGAGATGTGCCTTGGGTAATGTCGATAACAAAATGCACAAACTTTCAACGACTAATTAAATTTTTTCTCATTCCTACTAAGACTGGAACAAGAGGTAAGTCGATTTGTTTTCATTGCTGTTTATATTTCCCGACTTTCAAGACCCTTTGCTAGCAGTGCAACAGTCTCGCTAATCAACTTTCTGAATACTTTCCCTTTTATTACTTCAAATTTATTGCGTTCGGAGGCAGTTAGTTATAGGAGTTTTGAAGTTATATGCACGTGTGCTGGAGATAGTATTACTCACACGTTACCTGCTTTGAGAGAATATGACTTTGAAGGAGAGAGTTGGCTTTTTGGGTAAAACAGTGGAGAACATGCAAGGCACGAGAATAATTATTATGCCTGAAATATTTAGAAGCTGGTTGGAATTTGATAGAATTCTTGTCACACCTGAACCAAAAAACACGTAACGTCCAAGCAGTTTAACATTTACTTAAAATTTTGACGATATAGCCTATAACAACAACATTCATCAAATAAGCATTTGCAAAGAGGTCTGGGACACGTCTTTTGATACATGTTCAAGTTTCATTCAGCGACAAGTTTAGTTAACAACTATCTACAGCAATAGTGCACACCTCAGGATCCAGTATCTAAATACGTCTTCACCTTGGAACGGTAAAAAGAGGAAGCCTTATACATAGTAACCTTAAGATTTTTGCACCGTGACATATGATACCTAGTTAGCTATTCTATTGGCTACCCTTGCAGCGTAATCCATTTCACAACTTCGGAAACTCATTCTGTAGTTGTGTCTATGATCCACCTCCATATTATGCTAACAAACAAACGAAATATCAGATACCAAACAAACTACTAACGCATAGACTGTACTGGCTGTTTCTCTCCCAAAAACAAAGTAAAAAATTAATTTCTATGAAAATTGCAACCCATTTTATGTAAATTCGGATGACACCTACCGTTATAGTAGAATGCAAAATTATTAATGCATATAAATTGCCCGTGGTCGAGATAGGTCATGTGGGATAGGCGGCGGCAATGGCAATAAGAAGCTTTGTGTAATGGTGTCCTTTGAGGTCAGGAATGCTTTTGATACGGCACAGTGGCAGGAAATAGTAGGGTCACTCGCACAGCTGGACACCCCTGCATACCTGTCACTGCTCGTGGTTACTGGAATCCCGCCAAAGTGAGGCGCCATGAAGCATAGGCTAGGAAGCTCATTAAGGTCTGAACGGACAGAGGAGCTGTGCAGATAAACATCTACAATGCACAGTTACTTACGGGACAGGGATGCTTTGGAAACTACCTAAGGTGCATAGGAAACAGGAAATTCAACCAATAGTGAGACTAATGATGCTGAGCAAGGTATGTAAGAGAAGAGAATCAACAATAAATTTCCTTTTCTGATGAATGTGCACATACATGTGTGTGTGTGTATGGAGGAAAGCAACTTGGTTGAGACATATACCTTTAATATGAATCCTACTGCGATGCTATCCACCACGATGAGATGCTGCCATGCACTTACATTGGTGGGATGCAAGGAAAACGACTGAGGGTCTTTAGTGAGTATGCCGTATTTTGGAGAATGTCACACTTTGGCAGAAAAGGCTTACAGAAGGCATCTGTTTTGAGCTTGTCTGCCCGAGAGTGGCTATAAGAGCATACCTGTCCAAAAAAAAGTTAGGTTGAGTAAGGCTCACAATATCTGTCTGTTGGGATAACTGCGATTCCAGTATAGTTCTGAGGTTGAAACAGTGAAAAGACGGATGAATTCTCATTCGTTGCTTTCGGGCAGATATATACAACGTTTATTATTCTTCATCACGACTAGACGACGCTGCAAAGGTAGATGTATATACTTGCGCAAATATGTATTTTCTCAATATAATCAAGATTACTTCGCGTTGCGTGGAAACTTTGAGCACATGTTTACACGTTTACTGTAACAACAAAGATATTTCGTATTGATGGTGTTTGCACTAAAACAAAAGGGGTTTAATTGACAATGACGTGTGATGATCTCCTGTGGCATACTTTTGCTACCCGTGGTACCGCTCAATAGGAATTTACATTTGTTAGAAAATAGATATTAGTAGATACTTTGCATCTAATAGGCTTCCCACTTGCAGACAACATGAAGTAATCGAAACCATTATGATGTCTATGATTATGATTACCGATGATACTGTGTGATATGACAATATGATATGATTTCAAGATGTATGAACAAGGTATGTATTCTTATCTAAGTACAATTGACTTATATTATTGTTTGTGTTTACATACTTCAGAATTGTAGACCTTATCAAATCAGGTTGTATCCTTTAACCAAATACAGAGCCCAAGATTTAGCGTTGCACACGTGAACGTGAACAATTTTAAAATGTTTTGAACAAAAAGCTTATTTTTCAAGCAGAACCCCTACTTCCTTAAAAGGCATCAATCAACGTTGTCAAATAAGAATAAAAAATATATCCATTTGATAATAACTTTCCCTGTGATTTCGGATGGAAAAACCTTATTAGAAGATACAACCTCATCTTGCTATAGTGTAAAAGGCAAAGCATACACCGTTGTCACTTTAATATATATTTGTAACATCTGGTGCATCTACAACAACACTAGTGTTCACAAAGCTAAACCTATTACCTGTGCGTCGTCTAGGTTTTCACGTGTACCTCATAGAAACTCTTGACCATGCCGTACATACTCACTTTATCCTTCTCGCTAGGCTCGACCGTTGTCTTGCCTTGGTTGTTCTTTTCTTCGGCCTTCTTCTCTTTGAGGGTCTTTAGTAGTTTCCATTTACTGCCCATTGGTCCAGCTTCCTTGGAGGCGGGAGCCTCCTCCCTATTGGGAGTGGAAGAAGGCTCGATTTGAATTTCGGGGATGATGCTGGAGGCAGATTCTCTCGTTTCCCTAGCTTCTCTAGCTTCCCTTTGAACGAAATACAGGATGTTGGAGAAATATTTTGAAACGAGAACAATTGACCTCGCAACACTACGCCGAGATTACTCTCAAAAAATTGTGAAGCTTCAATGCATTGCTTAAAGGGCAACAGTCCTTAAACCAATAGCCTGGATGTCATCTGCACTTGACGGGTATTTAGAGTCGGATAGAAATTTCTATTTAAATCTCTCTAGAAGGGACAGGTAAAAAACTAGGTTCTAAAACCTCATTGAATGCTCTTCTGTACTTAAAATGACGTCAAGTAGGTTGACTCTGTACTTCCCATCTATCAAAATAGACAAATGTAGCCCATTTCAGAAAAAGGTAAACATTTATAACAGATGAATTAAATATATCAAGCGAGTCAAATAGTCCCTCACGATCTCTTATTTCATTCAAAAAAGTCTAACTATTGTAACTATTGAAGACTGTCAAATACACTCATCCAATCAAATCGATGATATGACGTTGCATATCTTTGCTCTGTAAATGACGGTTTCGGAACTAACGGAAAATCATTGGAGGAAAAAACCGAATTTGTCTCCAGTTCCAACTAATTTAACAAGCAACGGCCACGCTTTTATCCGAGTAGCGATGAGTAAGCCCAATACCACAGAAATATGCAGATTATCAGCTCAGCGGCAGCGAGTATCCCATTTCTCGACGCGGATATCAAAAATAATTCTACCTGTAAGCCTTAATAGCAAATGTACGGGGAAATCCATGTATGAAGTGTGAAATACGTCTAGTAGGTGCGTAGAATTACCGGGTTAAAAGTACCGTAAAATAAGTTCCACGGGCTGCCGCTAGGATCGTTTCTATGCACAGCCAGGCAACAGAGGCAGATTGTTTGGCTCCCCCACTCCAATCCCTCACCAAGCCAGCGTCGCTGCGACGTTTAGTCTTGGCTCAGCAGCCGTCAGCGATGGAGCTTCCTCTTGCGCCTCCCGCCAGCTGCGAGTTGCGGTCTGTTATTCGTTTCCTGGCCGCTAAGAAGAAATCGGCGAAGGAAATTCACGAAGAACTTTGTCAAGTATATGGAGAAGACTGTATGAGCTGCGGGATGGTGCGCAGATGGGTCAGGGACTTTAAAAATGGCCGAACAGACGTCCACGACGAAGCCCGTGCAGGGCGGCCATCGGTTTCCGACGAAACAATTGCCAAAGTCGAAGCGGCAATGCTTGAAGATCGACGGATTACAGTTCGGGAGGCAAAACCACAATTGACAAGATTTTGACTGAACATTTAGGCTATTCAAAGGTCTGCGCAAGATGTGTACCAAGAATGCTCACTGCAGACCACCGGCGGCAGCGGGTTGAAGCGGCCCAAGAATTTCTCGCTTTTCACGGAACAACCGAAGAAAAATTTCTGGACTCTATTGTTACTGGTGACGAGACCTGTGTACACTACACCACACCGGAAACAAAGGAGCAATCGAAGCAGTGGAAGCACTCTTATTCACCAAGAGCAAAGAAGTTCAAACAAATCCTGTCTGCCGGGAAAATCATGGCTAGCGTTTTTTGGGATCGAAAGGGCATATTTTTGTGCGAGTTTATGCCTCGCGGGACAACAATCAATGCTGACCTCTTGCGCCTCCCGCCAGCTGCGAGTTGCGGTCTGTTATTCGTTTCCTGGCCGCTAAGAAGAAATCGGCGAAGGAAATTCACGAAGAACTTTGTCAAGTATATGGAGAAGACTGTATGAGCTGCGGGATGGTGCGCAGATGGGTCAGGGACTTTAAAAATGGCCGAACAGACGTCCACGACGAAGCCCGTGCAGGGCGGCCATCGGTTTCCGACGAAACAATTGCCAAAGTCGAAGCGGCAATGCTTGAAGATCGACGGATTACAGTTCGGGAGGCAAAACCACAATTGACAAGATTTTGACTGAACATTTAGGCTATTCAAAGGTCTGCGCAAGATGTGTACCAAGAATGCTCACTGCAGACCACCGGCGGCAGCGGGTTGAAGCGGCCCAAGAATTTCTCGCTTTTCACGGAACAACCGAAGAAAAATTTCTGGACTCTATTGTTACTGGTGACGAGACCTGTGTACACTACACCACACCGGAAACAAAGGAGCAATCGAAGCAGTGGAAGCACTCTTATTCACCAAGAGCAAAGAAGTTCAAACAAATCCTGTCTGCCGGGAAAATCATGGCTAGCGTTTTTTGGGATCGAAAGGGCATATTTTTGTGCGAGTTTATGCCTCGCGGGACAACAATCAATGCTGACCTCTTGCGCCTCCCGCCAGCTGCGAGTTGCGGTCTGTTATTCGTTTCCTGGCCGCTAAGAAGAAATCGGCGAAGGAAATTCACGAAGAACTTTGTCAAGTATATGGAGAAGACTGTATGAGCTGCGGGATGGTGCGCAGATGGGTCAGGGACTTTAAAAATGGCCGAACAGACGTCCACGACGAAGCCCGTGCAGGGCGGCCATCGGTTTCCGACGAAACAATTGCCAAAGTCGAAGCGGCAATGCTTGAAGATCGACGGATTACAGTTCGGGAGGCAAAACCACAATTGACAAGATTTTGACTGAACATTTAGGCTATTCAAAGGTCTGCGCAAGATGTGTACCAAGAATGCTCACTGCAGACCACCGGCGGCAGCGGGTTGAAGCGGCCCAAGAATTTCTCGCTTTTCACGGAACAACCGAAGAAAAATTTCTGGACTCTATTGTTACTGGTGACGAGACCTGTGTACACTACACCACACCGGAAACAAAGGAGCAATCGAAGCAGTGGAAGCACTCTTATTCACCAAGAGCAAAGAAGTTCAAACAAATCCTGTCTGCCGGGAAAATCATGGCTAGCGTTTTTTGGGATCGAAAGGGCATATTTTTGTGCGAGTTTATGCCTCGCGGGACAACAATCAATGCTGACCGGTACTGTGAGACCTTGAAAAAACTTAGACGTGCCATTCAGAACAAGAGAAGAGGAATGCTGACGAAAGGAGTGCGTTTTCACCATGACAATGCCCGACCGCACACCGCCAATCGAACCACAGCCCTCATCGAAAGATTTGGATGGAAAATGGTGTCTCACCCACCCTACAGCCCAGACTTAACACCAAGTGACTTCCATCTCTTCCCTGAGTTGAAGAAAAGCCTTGGCGGAACCCAATTCCAGACAGATGAAGAGGTGCAAAACGCGGTTGTTAGTTTTCTACACGGACAGGCGGCAGAGTTCTATGACTCTGGTTTGAAGAAGTGGGTGCCTCGAATGCAAAGATGCACAGAACGCAACGGCGATTATGTAGAAAAATAAAAGAAAGACTGAACTTTCCAAAAATGTATTTTCTTTGCAATTAAACCAATTTTTTGATATGAAAAAAATTTGTGGAACTTATTTTACGGACACGCCTCGTATATGGCTACACTACGCCAAAAAGCTGAGATTCACTCTTCCTCACTCCGCACAACCCCCAGCCGCCAACGTTTTGCCCCTCAAAAAAGAAATGATAAAATTGGCAGGAGTTTAAGCCACTTTCATTTAATTGGTTTTGTTTTTATAGCTACGCAATCAATTTGCAAAAGCTACATAGTTGTGTGAAAGTTTCATTAAAATCCTAGCGCTACTTAGTTATAGACGGGTCAAGGATTAGCGGACCGACAGATAGTTCGACGCAAATGGTTTTCCGTCATGTGCATCACATCCAAAAACATATCTTATTTTCAACATATCTTGTCATTACAATACTTCCTCGCCAGTGACGTGAGAAGTAACACTTATGAATAAACGAAGAGAAATCTGGCATTTTATTTCCCAAGCCTACTGGCGAAAATATTGAAAAATGAGATATTACGTTTTTCAGATTTGACGTTGGTTTTTGTAATAGTCAATATCAGCATTTATTTTTAAAAATGGAGATTCCACCAGACATTGCTGATCCATTTCATATCCCAATAATTGCGCTTGGGCTGTAACCTAAAGGTTCAAGTTGCCGTTCAGTCTCTTGTGATGACAAACACTTATTCTAAGCTACCTGGCTTGTTGCACGTCTTCGCTCAAATGAAACTTGGCCAACTCCTCATTGATGGCCATTTCCACTTCATCATACTCATCCGTGCTGTGGCGAGGACTGTCAGGACCGGAAGTGTCTCCTGAAGAGCGTTCCTCTTCGTCCTCCTCTTCGACTTTGGCCAAATCTTCCGCTGGGGCTTCTTCAGGCTCGATGATCTGTAATTGAGGTTGAGCTTTTGCTGCCTCCTCTTCCTCTTCATCTCTGTGGTAGTGGGTGATTTTGGCAAAAAGCGCGGCTGCATTGTCCAACTGGAACGATCCGCGGTTACTTTGGCGCCTCTTCGCTGATTGAACTACGTGGAGGTCGTTGTCCTTTTTGTCAAGGACTCCTTCAGTAACCTGAGACAAAAAATGAAATCAAGAAAATTTCTAGAAGTAAGACTAATAGTTCCACTTCTAAAAATTATACTTAGTTACGACTGTACAAGCTTTTAGGAATGAGATCTTTGACTAGTTCCAATTCTCATATCAAGTAAAACTTTATTTTGAATTTTCTAAAATAGTAGAAAGCTTAAAAGGTACAAGACAAGTATGTCTTAGAAAGTTTGAACCTACCCCCATCAGAACGTTGATGAATATGAGATAAAGATCAAAGGGCGCAACAACTCCAAGACTGTTAAGCGTTTTCGTTCTAAGAATTGGTGAAAATTAAGAGCATTCAAGAAAGTACAAGCAAAGAGAGCCGCAACGAAAGGACATGGAAGTATCGTTCAAGATAATTTGTTATATTGTGTTACCTTGGCCTTAATCCTCAGCTCTCTAAGTACAAACGACATTTTCTCTTTGACTTCTTCATCAGGCCCCGTCCCATCGTCTGAAGTCGGCTCGGGCTCCTCATGCAACGTCGAACCCATTTCGTGTTCCAAATGTGTATGTCTCTCCATTTCCTCTAATTTCCTCAACTCATAACAGTACCATTCATCCTCGCTATCAATACTATCCTCGGTACTCTGCCTTCTAGATGACACCCTGGAGGTACTCCTCCAGGAATGTGTGCTTCTATTGTCATCATCGTCTCTACCTCCAGGTATGTCCAAACTTTGATGTTTTGGAAGGAACCTGATTGCGTGAGATCTGAGGCTGAAAGAAGGACTGCCTTCAGTTCCATCTGAAGCAATTGGTTTGTTGTTTTCGGAACTGTTTTGGCTATCACTCGACTTTTGTTCCGAGATTGTCTTCTCTGAAACTCTATCAGACATGCTTTTGTCGGATTTTGGTGGGCTGACTTTCTCTATTGAAGGAACAGTGGGTTCATCGACGATCTCTTCAATTTGTACACCTTGCTCATCGCTGACGATCTGATCGTCTGAGAATGACGATGATTGACGTTGCCTATATTTTCCAAGAGCTCGGGATACTGCGAATTCCATTGAGGCTCCTCCAACTACAACTACCATCTTGGATTCTGTTATGACTGTTTCGTCACTTTTTTCTGAGGATGAGCTCTTTTTGACATCTCCTATTGTGGCAAATAGAGCGCTGGAGTTGCTTTCGTTGCTTCTGGCTGAGTGGTCCTCATCGTACCTGAAACAATTGTATTTACTAAATATAATCTTGTAAGCATGTGCTTAACGATGTTAAGACTAAGAGCACGTTTTCTTCGCCATTCTAGACTGCTCGTACAACTCGCCTTTAGGTGAAGCTCTTGTTTGTAATGAGTAGATCCTGTCCAAACGATGTTTATCCCGTTATTATCTTTAGCTATGAAGACCACCCCTTCAAGTTTCGACGTTAACAATGTGGCTTGTCAGTCGCGGTGATTCAAATTAGAAGCTATCATTGGGAAACTATCTTCATTTTCTCCTGGCCTCTGGTCATGGATTCATAACATGAATTGCACGTTTACAGTTCTTCCAGTATAAAAGGATCATTAATAACTCGTCAACTTGGAGTCAAAAATCTTATGTATCTATGTAACGCGCAAAAGCAGTTAAAATTATATCCAAAAACACATCAGTCAAAAAAAAATGTGTACTGTATTTTTTTTATTCGCCTAACTATTCATTTTTTTGAATGTTGAGAACTGGACAACGATATTTCATCACATGAACTCAGAATCAATAATTGCACTTTGATATAAATATATTCACTGTTCTGTCTATATCAAGATTCTATGCCTTATGCCAAACCCATCAAAATCATTTCGTCCTATAGTGACGATAAAGTCAAAAATAGTTCCAAAATTTGAGTACCGCTTTTTAAAATACTGATTACTCCTATGAAAGATCAGATACTCAAAAAACGTCAAGAAGTGAGGTTTTTGGGAGAATCGAGGAATTTTCCGTTTTCCGCATGAAGACAACTTTGCGACAAAATTACATCCCAGCAGTGTTTACAATGCATCTTCGCCATTTGGCGCGGGAAAAAAGGTTTACCTGGACGACCGACAACTTTTTCTTCCTACAGACATTATAATATACAGGGTGGCGAATATATATTATTATTATTATTATTATTATTATTATACAACCGACTGATTTAAATTGCGCGCCACTTTTGATACATGCATTTCAGGAGATTTGAACAAACAGGTGAAGTTAAAGACTTGCCAAGGTGTTCGACCTGTTCCTACTCCGGAAAGTATAAAGACAGTTCGTGAAAGTGCAGTGGAGCGCCCTGAAACGTCTACCAGACATCGTTCAAAATAAATGGGTATTCGTCGCACGTCATGTTGCACTATTTTAAATAAAGACTTGCATTTGCAGCCATACAAAATTTAGTTAACCCTTAACCTGAAAGGTGCCGTCTGTGAGACTGCGGCGTTTCTATACCTGAGCGTATCTTTTTTTATTGCACCTCTAACAGACGTAAAAACCCATCTAATCCATAAGCTATTAGTGACCATCGCCCACCCCCATTCACACGAGTCTAGCCAAAACGTGCCTTAAAATATGGACCAATTTTAGTTTGTTGCAGTCTGTCAGACGGCACGTTTCCGTTCCCGTTTGCTATTTGTGTTGCATAGGTGCGTTTGCGAGTATGGCGGGACCTTCTAAACGTGTACGATACGATGATCCGGAGTTCGAAGAAACCGTTCTAAAATTGTTTGAGGATGATGGAAGTGACTTTAGTGATATAGACAGTGCCTCAGAAGACGAATACATGGAATCAGATCATACAAGTGATATTGAGTTATCAGAAGACGGAGCCGAAGGAAATGAAGAGGATTTACCAGCTCAGAATTATTTCTATGGAAAAAATCGTCATAGGTGGAATATTTCGGAAGTTGTACCATCATCACGTACAAGGAAGCACAATATAGTCATTAAAGTACCAACTCTAAGAGGAAAAGCTCATGAATATGGAGAAGAAGCAGCTCCGTTGACGGTTTGGCAGCTTTTGTTCACTGACGACATGTTGGTACATATCGTTAAGTGGACCAATCACAAGCTCAAAGAAATGCGAAAGAGATACAAAAATCAAACCAGCAACCTAAACGACACTGATTTAGTCGAAATAAAGGCACTATTGGGTCTCTTAGTATATACATCGGTGTTCAACAGCAACCACGAGAACATTGAAACACTTTTTGCCACCGATGGCTCTGGAAGAGATATATTCAGAGCCGTCATGAACATAAAACGATTTGGTATTCTCCTGTCAGCCTTAAGGTTTGATAACCCAGATGACAGGAATGAAAGAAAGAAGCTAGATTCAGTAGCACCAATATCTTTCATTTTTAATAGTTTTATAAAGAACTGTCAAGATGTGTACGGAGTTGGCCAGTCTGTCACTGTCGATGAAATGCTCGTGAGTTTTAGAGGAAGATGTCGATTTAAAATGTATATGCCTGCGAAACCTTGCAAATATGGCATAAAAATTATGGCATTGACGGATGCAAGGAATAGCTACCTCTATAACGCATATATATACTGCGGTAAAGATTCCGATAGTTTCGAACTTCCTGAGGAACACAAGCGGTATTCCAAACCCACACAATCAGTTCTACGTCTCGCGAAGCCTCTGTTTGGAACTAATCGCAACATTACAGCGGACAACTGGTTTACGTCAATAGAATTAATGGATGTCCTATTGAAGAACAAACTGACCTATGTGGGTACAATGAAGAAAAATAAAAGAGAAATTCCTCCGGCATTTTTACCCAACAAATCAAGAGAAGTCGGATCAACAATGTACGGATTTCGAGAAGATTCCACTATTGTGTCTCATGTAAGCAAAAAAAATAAAGCCACAATACTCGTATCTTCTATGCACCACAGAAAACATTGTGATCCGGAAACACAGAAACCGGAAATAATAGCCTATTACAGTGCTAATAAAGGTGGAGTTGATTCTCTTGATGAAAAATGTTCGAAGAGTACCTCAAGTCGCCGTTCGCGTAGGTGGCTACTGGTTATGTTCTACCGACTATTGGATATATCGGTAGTGAACTCGTATATTTTACACCAGTGCTATAAGAAAAATGAATTGCAGAAGGAAAAATCGGTATTTGCTAATATGTTGGCCGCTAACCTGGTCCGTGAGCATATGGAAAAGCGACTAGAGAGTCCCCGTTTACCTCGGGATTTGCGACTTACGATAAATCGCATCCTTGGCAAATGTGAACATCCAGCAACAGAAGCTGAAAATTTGGTTTTGGAAAAAAGGAAAGCCTGCTTTTTATGTCACCGAACGACCCATCGGATGACCAAATTTTTGTGTGTACAATGTAGGAAGCCTGTATGTCTTCAATGCTCCAAACCCAAATGTATTAGCTGCATAAATATAGGCAATGTTTGAGACTTTCAGTGAATTTTGATTCTGTTCTTTTTGTATTTATTGACTATAATATACTTTCCTTGTTCATTACTTAACTAGAAAATAGAAAAATATTGAGACTTTTCCATAGTTTTAATTTAGTTTCTGAATGTTGCAACAACAGCGTTATTTTTGTATGGTTTTAGCATAGTTAATAAAAATGTTTCTTTTATGTTCTTGTATCATTTTGAAATGAGCATTTTACGTATTAAACACATAACATAAACATCCAGTATCAGTTTCAGCGAAGTTATTGCTTGCTTTTCGCCTTACTCTAATTTTTTGAACATCTTGAAGTTCGCAGTCTGAGAGACGGCATGTTTCCTTTTGTGTTCCAAAAATTCACGTTTCCTGTTAAGGGTTAACCTAAGAACCACAGCCTAGTGACCATAAAAGTCGCCGACAATACTGTCATGCAATATTGCACCTTAATACACAAAATAACAATTTTTACCGACAATTAGCAATGAGAGATGAAGCCCACTTCATTATAAACCGATTTTTTAATAAGTAGAATTGTCGAATCTGGGCATTAGAGAACCCTCGTGTCATCCGTCAACGACCACTGCATCCTCATCCAGTTAGAGTTTGGTGCGGTGTTTGGTATGCAGGTGTCATTGGACCTTACTTCTTTGAAGACGCTGCAGGTAATTCTCTTACTGTCACTGGCGAGTGTTACCGTGATATGGTGCGAAACTTTGTGGTTCCTCAAATTCAACAATTTGACCTCCATAACATGTGGTTCCAGCAGGACGGAGAAACTTGTCACACAGCTAGGGAAACAATGAATCTCTTGCGAACATTATTTCCGGGACGTTTAAGTTTTCGATTTGGTGATGTCAACTGGCCACCAAGGCCACCGGATTTAACGGCTCCTGACTTTTTTATCGGGATTTTTGAAGGATAGGGCATATACCAACAACCAAATCCTGTAGAGCAGCTAAAGAACAATATTACCGAAGCGATTGAAAATATTTCTCCCGAAACCTACCAAAAAGTGAAGGAAAATGTACTCAAGAGGCTCAGGCTTGCGCGACTCGAGGCGGACATTTGACTGACATTATTTTTCATATATAATTTCCACGTTTCAGTAAAAGATTGAGATGAAACAAATGGACATATTTTATTTCATTTCACAAATACTCAAGATACAAACTAGTCAGTTACATATCGGCCACCCTGTATATACATTTCATGTCAAGTCGCAAATAACAATATGTTACTATTTTTAAGGTTTTAGTGGTTACAACACGTCTACGTCAATTGGTGTAGGAAAGAAAAAGGCAATGTGAATTTCATTTCAAAGCTCTAAATTCCAATGGGGTCAGGGACAATGAAAACCATAATAGGATATTCCGTTTCTTCCTTCGTTTTCGAGAATACTCCAAATGTTTCAGATGCGGTCCACCTTTAAGGTACACGCCCATTGAAGAGAAGGAAAGCGAGGAGAAGAGAAGCGACGTGTCACGGTAACCAAAGGTCTTTTTTATTTGAAATTCTATTGTATGGAAACTGATATGGCATATGGAATATTACGTGAGTCATGTGTCCACTGTGGGTTCGGACAGTGGCACATTTCAAGGAGCTCACATTTTAGTAGTTACTGCACTATTTTTTGAGAAAGTAAAAAAAAACTATATAAGTTCTCACGCCTTGAAAACGGCTTCTAGCAACTTTAAATGTACCTCCCATACGAAGATAGATTCATTCTGAAATCTCGAGCCCTACACGAATATGCTATCAAAAATGATGGCTAGTATCTGAAT